TTCCTCCCCGGCTCCACCGCCTCCTCCCTAACCCCGCCCCTTCATTACCAGCCACGCCCCTTCCTCCCCAGCTCCACCGCCCCCTAACCCCGCCCCCTCATTACCAGACACGCCCCTTCCCGGCTCCACCGCCTCCCTAACCCCGCCCCTTCATTACCAGCCACGCCCCTTCCCAGCTCCACCGCCCCTCCCTAACCCCGCCCCCTCATTACTAGACACATCCCCATGACCAGACACGCCCCGTCCTCCCCGGCTCCACCTCCTCCTCCATAACCCCGCCCCCCACTACCAGCCACGCCCCTTCCCGGCTTCACCGCCTCATTACCAGCCACGCCCCCATGACCAGACACCCCCTTTCCTCCCCAGCTCCGCCGTCTCCTCCCTAAGCCCGCCTTCTCATTACTAGTCACTCCCCCTATTACCAGCCACGCTTGTTCAGCCCAAGTTCCCCACCCCTCCCGACCCACTCCTCATTACCAGTCACGCCCCCTTCTCCCCAACCGCGCCCCTCCTTCCCAACCCTGACCCATTTCACCAGCCACGCCCCTTTCCCAAGCTCCGCGCCCTGCTCGCGGGCCCCATTGTCTTGCCCAGCCCGCCCCTTCCACGCAGCACCCGCCCCCGCCCCTTCCTCCCACCTCCTTCGCAGCCCTCCCCCTGATGTCGCGCTCTGTGTCTGGCCCCCGCCTGCGTCCCCCTCATTCCCCAGTGCTAGTCCTGCTTGTGACGCTCCGGGCACGGTTCCAGCAGCAGTCTCGGGGCAAGGGGCTTCTGGGGAGCCCCCAGGACGACCTTCGAGACAACGTCCTCAATTACGATGAGCAGGGAGGCGGGGAAGAAGACCAGGTGAGGGGGAAGGTGTGGGTAGGGGGGGTCTCCAGGGAACAGGCTGCGGGCCTTCATACAGCAAGTTGGCCAGGAGCCACCGCGGGATGCTCGGCTCTGTTCCACGTCCTCGCCCACAGGATGCCTACGACATCAGCCAGCTGCGTCACCCGACAGCACTGAGCCTGCCTCTGGGGCCGCCGCCGCTTCGCAGAGATGCCCCACAGGGCCGCCTGCACCCCAAGCCGCTCCGAGCTCTGCCCACCAGCCCCCTGGACATCGCTGACTTCATCAGTGATGTAGGTGCTCCTGGGAACACCCCAGCACACACAGGCACACAAAGGTGCACACATGTAGGCACACACATACGTGCACATTTACACACCTGCCCACACATGTAAGGACCAGCGTGTATGCACTGTACACGAGCTTTCCAAGGGCACCGCAGAGGAAGATGGAGCGTGGGTGGGGTTGCAGAAGCCGCCCTGCCACTGTCTGAAATGGGCCATCAGCCTCCACCCACGACGCAGGTCTTTGCATGGATGGATGGCGTGGCCACAGGCCTATCCACTGCCCCATACCCACTGGGGAGGGGGAGCCCCAGGAGCATCCCCCGGGCTTTGGTGGCTCTCAGCAGAATTAAGGCCTCCCCAGGAGCCCCTCTGGACGCAGCGTTAACGATTCCCTGCCATCCACAGGGTGGATACAAACATGGGAAATCTGGGGTGGGGGTGTGCAGGGAACCCCCTCCCCTGTCCCTGCCTGCACCTGTAGCACCTGGCTAAGAGAAAGCACCCCAGCAAAGGTGTGCACCCCTGGGTAGGTGAGTGTGTGTCCCGAGGAGCTGAGAGGACAGAGGTGCGGAGCCTCAGAAAGGCAGGAGGGCTGTCCTGCAGTGGGAGTGTCCGGGAGGCTCGGGTTCTGGCGTCAGTGGACAGGGGCCGCCGGGACGAGGAGACCAGGGTGATGGGAGCAACCCCTTTCCACTGGCTGGGGCAGGCAGAGCCCTGGGGGACCGGCTGGCCACTGGCCTAATCCTGAGGAAGGGGACGGCCCACTGCACCCTCTTCACGCCCTCTGCTGTGCCCTCAGGAAGCTGTGCCTCCCCGCAGACCTCACCCCGGACGTGGGCAGCTTCCCCTTCCTGAGACCATGCCTGGAGCTGGCTTTGCCCTGGGCTGTGGCTATGGGGGGCAGGGGGGCACCTGCTGGCCCCTACGTGTGTCCTGACCTCTCTCGGCCTCTTTGCAGGGCTTGGAGGCTGCAGACAGTGACCCCAGCGTGCCGCCTTATGACACAGCCCTCATCTATGACTACGAGGGCGAGGGCTCCGTGGCAGGGACGCTGAGCTCCATCCTGTCCAGCCAGGGTGATGAGGATCAGGACTACGACTACCTCAGGGACTGGGGGCCCCGCTTCGCCCGGCTGGCAGACATGTACGGGCACCCGTGAGGGTTGGAGCCAGGAACCAGATGGGACCACCGGGCCAGGGACAGTCTTTCTCCAGGGGCACCTCCACCCAGACACAGAGGGTGGACAGCCTGACCCTGGGGCGCAACTGGACACATCACTCCCAGGCCACCTGGCAGTGATGGCCCCTGCAGAGGCAGCCTGAGGTCACTGGGCCTGACCCCAAGGGCCTGGGGCAGCCTCCTTCCTGGAGGAGAGGATCCAAGTCTTGGGCAGAACCCAAGTGTGGAGGGGGCAGCCAGGAAGAGGCTCCTTTCTGCCGGGGTGGGAAGAGCTTCTCTCCATCAGCCCCATGGGGGTCGCCTCCCACCAGTGGACTTCAACTTTGTATGAAAGACGGCAGCCTCCTGGGTAAATCTGAATGAAAAACGTACTAGTGTATCTCATGGGGGATGGGCGCCCAGTGCCACACTGACCGTGAGGAGAATAAGGGCCAGGCCCCCATCCCACCCTGCTTGGCTGGAGCAGGGGGTGGCTGGGGACTGCCCCTACCTGGAGAGGGGCTGTGGAGCGACTGCTGATACGCTGGCTCCTCGCCAGGGAGCCCAGAGGTGGGGAGTGGGCACAGGTGAGGCCCCTCCAGGCCCCAGGTGTGGCCTGAGGGAAGAACCAGGGAGGACGCCAAGTTCCACGGAAGCCTTTATCCTCCGCACCTGCTGGGTTTGATCAGGGAGGAGACTCAGGGACTCCCAGGGCCCAGGGCTCGGCTGGGGACAAGTTCGAGCTGTTCCCACGGCTCTGCCTGCACTGAGACACGGGCTTCTGAGGGGTACGTGTCTCCCCTGGACCAGGTGTCTAGGGTACTCAGCCATGCCGCAGGCCTTGACCTCGGTCCCTCCTGGCTCCTGGGGCCAGCAGGCAGGACTAGTGCCGCTCGAGGGTGTGGCCGGCCCGGCAGGCATCAGAGGGCGACAGCAGGGGCAGGTGGTCCTGGCGGGAGCAGCCCCGCAGGAGTGGGGAGCGGCGTAGGCGGTCGGCGTCCTGCAGTGACTGGGGCAGGCCCCGGCTTCGGCTCTCCGGCAGCAGCAGGACGCACAGCAGGGTAAGGACAGCGAGGGAGGCGAAGACCACATGTTGGAGGAAGAAGCCCCTCCGGCCCTGCACGGCGTCCAGGGGGTTGGCCGCCTGGCCCAGGAACCCGGCCCCTAGCACCAGGCCCAGCCCGGCCCCTCTGTGGGAGAGAGTATGTTGGGGACAGCTGGTGGGGCAGCTGTGGGGCATCAGACATGGGGACACACGTGACTGCGGAGGGAGCGGCAGGAGGGCTGGCCGAAGCAGAGCCTAAGGTTTGCTGGCTAAGGATAACTTTCAAACTTGTTTTGGAAAAACCTCCTTCCTTCTTGTTCTGGAGCAGCACTTTGTGCTCTGTTCATTCAAAGCTTGGAAGTGATGGTTCCTCTGAAATTCTGCCATCTCTGGAGGCTTCCTCATCTCTGCCCCGCCCCTTGTCCCCCACCACCCCGCTCAGGCCTGCACGGCCTCCCCTCCCCTTCCCAGTTCCTGAGGCCTCTGCCCAGAGCCTCCTGTGAGCAGGGGCGTCCGCCACCCGGGAGCAGGGCAGCACTTCATCCGAGTGCTCACTGGACAGAGGAACTGCAGCAGGGCAGGGTGTGGGCACTGGCCCTCCTTCCACCTGGCCCCTCCTCCCCATGAGGGGCCCTGGGTCCTGCTGTGTGGCTGGGCCACCCTGTAGCTCACCTGATCACTGTAGGGAACACCTCAGCTGCAAAGAGGCTGCTGAGTGCAGACACAACCCGGGAGGCCAGGAGCCCCAGGACAGAGACGGACAGCATGGTCCAGCCCGGCAGATCTGGAGACAAGAACAGGGGTTCCCAGGCCTTCCATCCTGGCCACACAGAGCCTCTCCCCAGAGAACCACACCGCCAGCTGGGCACCTATTTCCCAGGCCTCCACCTCCAGCCCCTCTGCAGAACCTGGCAGGGCAGGTTGTGTCCTCTGCTGCCTGATTCCAGCTTGGCTTGGATTCTCAGGATGATAGAATCCTAACCCGGAGCCACAGCCACGCCAGCCACCTCCCCCCGGGGCCCGTGCTCAGCTACTGCATGCTGTCCACCGTCTTTGCAATTTTGAGAACCATCCTAAAATCTTGAATACTTTGGAAGCAAGGCATGTATCTCATTTGGGACCCAGCCCCACACACCATGTGACCAGCCCTGAGTAGATGGGCCCTCCCACGCCAACCCGGGGCCAGCTGAACTCTGGGCAGAGCCTACCCAGCCTGGCCTCTTGACCTCTCACACCTGTGCTGCATTCTGTGGTTGGGGACAGCTTTTTCTGAGATGGAATTTCACTCGTTGCCCAGGCTGGAGTGCAGTGGTGTGATTTCAGCCCACTACAGCCTCCGCCTCCAGGGTTCAAGTGATTCTCCAGTCTCAGCCTCCCACATAGCTGGGATTACAGGCATCCGCCACCATATCCAGCTAATTTTTTGTATTTTTAGTAGAGACAGGGCTTCTCCATGTTGGTCAGGTTGGTCTTGAACTCTTGACCTCAGGTGATCCACAAGCCTTGGCCTCCCAAAGTGCTGGGATTACAGGCGTGAGCCACCGTGCCCAGCTAGGTGTTTTAGGCTCAGACAGGTTCCTGGTTCCTTACTTTGGGCCAGTCTCAGAAGAGCCTTTTGGGCCTTCCAAAAGGATCAGAGGAAAACCATGCTGCTCCCTCTGTCTGCACCACGGCCCCCTGATGGGGCAGACCTTCAGCCCAAACACCATGGCCCCTATATGGCCTGTGGGGCCCCAAGCTCACACTGGGCCCCAGCGAGGAGCAGCAGGGATGCCAGGCCTGTTGCCATGGTGCCCAGCAGCAGGACGAGGCGGCGTCCCCAGCGATCTGCCGTCAGGAGCAGGAAGACCAAGGCTGCTGCCTCCAGGCCGGCCTCCAGGAAGTAGGGCAGGTAGAAGGTCAGCACCTGAGGGGCCAGGCTGCGAAGGAAGCTGGCTCTGATGCCCCCACCAACCAGTCTGGGAGAGAGAACAAAGCTATGGGCCCAGCCAGAGCCAGGACTCTGGGGACCACACACCCGCCCCGCGGGGAAGGTACAGAACCTAAGCCCTTCCTCTACTCACGAAATGAAGCTCAAGATAAGCCCGTTTCTCCAGGTGACCTGGGTGTGCAGGAGCCCCAGGGGGGAGTGGTATCGGGGCCGGGGGCTCCCTGCAGACAGCATGGCCAGCTCTGTAGCAGCAGAGATGTGGGGGCAGAGGGGGGTGAAGAGCAGGCAGTGCCTCTCTGGAGCCCTCCTCCAGTACCTGAATCTCCCTCCTCCCTGCCTGGTGCCTGACCTGTAGCCAGGGAGTTCTCTTCCAAGGAACTGTTCTCGGGGTCCACACCACTGGCTTCTGCAAAGTGCCACAGGATGTTCCTGGCTCGGGCTACCTGCCCTGTGGCCAGCAGCCAACAGGGAGACTCGGGGAACAGGGCTGGGAACCTGCAGGGTTGGTGAGGATACCCAAGGCTCCCTCCACCTCCTCCAGGACGGAGAGGCAGAGGCCAGGCCCCCCACTCCTCCCTTCAGCTGAGTGGCTCTTTGTGACACTCAGCCCCCACGGGGTCTGCTGGCCCAGCGCCTATCACACTTACCCCCAAAAGAGCAGCAAGAGCCCGCTCATCAGGGCGCCCAGCCCCTGGAGAAGGCGCCAGTCCTGCACAAGCGCAGCCAGGCCAGGCAGCAGCAGGGTGCCCACCACAGAGAAAAGGCCGGCCCCCACGGAGAAGGCCAGGCGGTGTGGAGGGTCGCACAGCTCCAAGCCTGGGCAGATAGAGACGGGCTGAGGTGGAGGCCTCAGGGAGGGCTGGAACAGTCCCACTGGGGACTGCAGGGACCTAGTGCTGACCTGCCTGGGAGTGGGATGCCCGAGCTGGACTCCCCACCCCTGCAGCTCGGGGCTCTTGGCAACCGAGCCTCAGAGGCCTTCGGGCCACCCACTGCCCCTCCCCCAGTGACAGCAGCCCCCATGGTACTCACGAGCCAGGTACAGGGCGAGCAGGGCCCCTGCCAACGTCCCCCCATGGACTAGGCGCAGGATCAGTAGGGTAGAGAAGCTGGTCACCAGGGCCTCACCGGCCCCAAGGCCCGTGGACAGCACCAGGGAGGCCACAAAAACTGCCCGGCGGCCAAACCTGGGGATAGCGGGGGACATGCTAGGACAGGGTCAGGGTAACCCAGGGTCCACTTAATCCTGGCAGCGTCAGATCTAGCTGAACCCTGAGAGCAGTGGGCCACGGGCGCGGAGGGCTGCTGGGCAGCAGGGAAGGGGAAGGGGCCTCACCGGTCACATCCTGCTCCCAGGATGACACAGCCTAGCAGCCAGCCCAGGAGGTGGCTCAGCTGCTCCAGCGGGACCTTCCAGCTGTCTCTGCACACGAGGTTCCACTGTGGGAACAGCAGACACGTGGAGGCCAGCTCAGGACCCTCCCCTGCCTCCTCGCTGGGGACAGGTGCAGGGAGTCCCAGAACGGCTGCCCGAAAGCACCCTACACGGCCTGCTCAATCCCTCCCTGAAGGGGAAACTGAGGCATGAGAGGGCAAGGTGGCTTGGTCCAGGTCACACAGCAGCCTCTTGGGACTCCGGCAGTCCCCGCAGAGGGGTTGGGGGACCTGGCCCCCTTGTTTTCTGCTTGTCTTTAGAAGGGGCCTCCCCCACCTCTGCACACCATTGCTCTCCTCCGAAGCCAAATCTTGTCCCACCTGTTTCTACCTCCTATTCCGAGGGACCCCAGGGACACTCACGACCTCGGTGGCGTCGTAGACACACCCCACCCAGCCAAGGGCCATAGCCATGACACAGGCCTAAGAAATGAGCCGCGGCACCCGCCCCCGTCCTGCCCTGCCCATTTCAAGAGGGATTCAGGCAGCGGCTGGAGAGCTGTGCTCAGCGGCATTTCCCGGTGAGGCCCTTGACTCTTGACCTCAGCTCTGCGCCCCCCGCCCCCTTTCCAGTTCCTCGCTCTTCTTGCCAAGCTTAATCTACTGCTAGGGAACATGCTATGCCCGCGATTTTACTTTCAAACCTGACGTTTTGTGGAGCCGGGCCCCAGACAGGAGGGCAGGTGGGAGTGGGGGTGGAGAGAGAAGCCGGGCGGGTTCCAGGGCCCCAGGCAGGCCCTTGCGGAGATGTGGCAACCCAGAACCAGTTTCCACGCTGGGGCCAATCCTCCCAGGGTGGGAGGTGGAGGCCGCGGGGTAAAGGCTGCCGCAGGAGTGGGAAGGAAGAGAGGGGCCTGGGGGTCCGTGCCGCTGCCTCCTCTTTTCTTACGCAGACCGTCAAGGTTCCCCTTCAGGCAATGCTGTCTCCAGCCCAGCCTCCGCGCGCCACGCCCCACCGGTGGCAAGCCCACCGTTCCCAATCTGTGCTGACCACGCCAGTCTCTCCAAGCAGAGACTCTCCCTGGGAAGCCAGCCCAAAGCCACGGTCTGCTCAAGACGCTGGTGGTCGTGAAGCAAATTCTAGGCCCTGCTCCCCCGGCCTTCAGCTCCAATCCTCCTGCGCCCCAGGCCACCCCGCGCCGGTGGGAGCAGCGTCTCCGCAGGCCTGGCCCTGGGCGCGCGTCTACCGCACCGTCCGGCCGGGGGCCGCCCCCAAGCGGGGAGCGCAGGAGGACCGGCGGGTGGCCCCGGACAGAGGCGCCAGGGAGGGCGGGGAAGGGACACCCAGGGCCCCGGCAGGCTGCGGGCGGGGCGGGCCGCCGGGCGGCGGGGAAGGGGCGCACCTGGGTGACAGGGCTGCGCAGGAGGCCCGCGGCGGGCAGCGCGTAGAGCCAGCCGCGAGTGCAGGGGCGCGTGCCGTTGGGCGCGGGCGCAGGGCCAGGGCCGCGGCGGGCGCCGGGCGCGGGCTCGGGGTAGCGCAGGAGCAGGCAGGGGCTCTGGACGCGCGTGGGTCCCAGGCGCGGGATGGCGGCGTCGAGCAGCGCCGGCCCACGCAGAGCGCGCAGCGCGGGGGGCAGCAGCGCCGGGTCCGGCCGGCAGTGGTGCGCGGGCTGCGCGGTGAGCAGCGCCTCGGAGCTCAGCGCCAGCCCCAGCACCACGCAGGGCACCCACGAGGCGGCGGCCAGCAGGCGCCGGGCCCGGCCGAAGCCACCCGCAGCCCTCAGCACCCGCGCCTCCTGCTCCATCTGCCGCGGGCTGCGCGCTGGACCCGGCTGGGCCAGGACCCGGCGGGCTCCGTGGGCGGGGCCTGGGGGGGGGGCGGGGCCCCAAAGGGGGGGGCCCGAGTCGAATGGGGCGGGGTGTGGGCGGGCCCTGTGAGGGGCGAGGCCTGACAGGGCGGGGCCTGGGGGCGAGGCCCTAATGGGCGGGGCCCGAGTCGAATGGGGCGGGGTGTGGGCGGGACCTGTGGGGGGGGGGAGGACTGATAGGGCGGAGCCTGATCTGGGCCGTAGGGCGGGGTTTGAGGGGCGGGCCTTGAGGCCGAACAGCGAGAGGGCGGGGCACGGTGAGGGCGGCCCGCCGGCCGGGGGCGTGGCCAGGGGCGTGACCGCGCGCTCAGGTGCCCGCGGGGCGCAGGTGCACGCAGGTGGCTCTGGGCGCGGGGTCCGGCGGGCGTCTCGGAGGGGTGGTCCCTGCGTGGCGCCGAGCGCGCCCGCCCGGGCGGGGCGAGGTCGGGGGGTGCAGCCGCCTGCCCTTCTCCACGCCGGGAGCTTTCGTCTGGTTTTGCGGGAGAAGCTCCCAGGTGACCCGCGGGTTCTGAAACCGCCGCTCAGGAGCTCGCGGCCTGCGCGGCATCTCCGGGGCGATCGAGGGAGAACGGACGCCATTCGCCTGGTTCCTTCTCCCCTTCTGAGAACCAAGTAGGTTGCGTTTATTTTCGAGTCCGATTATTTTCTCCTTTTTTATTTGGAGGCGGCGTCTCGCCCTGTCGTCCAGGCTGGAGTGCAATGGCGTGATCTCAGCTCACCGCAACCTCTGCCTCCTGGGTTCAAGTGATTCTCCTGCCTCAGCTCCCGGGAGCCGTGGCTCACGCCTATAATCCCAGTACTTTGGGAGGCCGAGGCGGGCGGATCATGAGGTCAGGAGATCGAGACCATCTGGCCAACATAGTGAAATCTCGTCTCTTTTAAAAACAAACAAAAAAAATAGCTGGGTGTGGTGGCGCACACCTATAGTCCCAGCTACTCAGGAGGCTGAGGCAGGAGAATTGCTTGAACCCAGGAGGTGGGGATTGCAGTGGGCTGAGATCGTGCCACTGCACTGCAGCCTGGGCGACAGTGTGAGACTGTCTCAAAAAAAAAATTATTTGGACTATTTGGGGTTCTTCCAGGGTCAATATAAATTTTTAAATGGGGTTTTCTTTTTCTGCAAAAACAATGTCCCTGGGATTTTGATATGGATTCCCTATTAAAATCTTTTGATAGAATATTTAATACTGTTTTGAATTTATCAAAATTGATTGCATTGAATCTGTAGATTTTATATGGGCAGTGTTGACATTTGTAACAATATCTTCTAATCTGTCAACATGGAATGTGTTTTCATTTATTTATGGTTTCTTTAATTTTTTTCACCAGCATTTTGTAGATTTTTATTGCACAGTTCTGTTACCTCCTTGGTTAAGTTACTTACTATTTTATTCTATTTTTATTTTTATTTTTTTAGATGAAGTCTTACTCTGTCATGCAGGCTGGAGTGCAGTGGCACAATCTCAGCTCGCTGCAATCTCCGCCTCCCAGGTTCAAGCAATTCTCCTGCCTCAGCCTCCCAAGTAGCTGAGATTACAGGCGCCCATCACCATGCCCGGCTAATTTTTTTTGTATTCTTAGTAGAGACGGGGTTTCATCATGCTGTCCAGGCTGGCTTCACACTCCTGACCTCAAGTGATCACCCACCTTGGCCTCCCAAAGTGCTGGGACTACAGACGTGAGCCACCGCCCCTGACCAAGATGCCATTGTAAGTAGAATTATTTTTGTAAAAGCTTTTTTAGATTGTTCATTGACAGTAAATAGAAATGCCGCTGGTTCTGCATGTTGACATTGTACCCTGCTACCATGCTGAATACATTTATTACTCCCAACACATTTTGTCCGTCGATGTCTGTCATCTTCAGGATTCCCTGTGTGTCAGACCATATCCTCTGCAAACAGATCGTTTTACTTCTTTCCACTTTGGGTGGCTTTTATTGCATTTTCTTCCCCGATCGCTCGGTTAGAACTTCCAGCACTATGTGGAACGCAAGTGGTGAAAGTGAGCAACCTTGCCTGATTCCTGATCGTGAAGGGAAAGCTCATTCTGTAAGACAGCTGCTTTGGCTTTTTCATATATGGCTTTTATTATATTGTGGTAGTTTTCTTCAAATTCCAGGTTTGTTGTCTGTATTTATTATTTAAAAAGATGGTAAGTTTTGCCAAATGCTTTTTCCACATCAATTGAGATGATCTTTTTCCCTTTCATTATATTAATGCGGTATATTACATTGATCAGTTTTCAATGTTTGGAACTACCATTGCCTTCAAGGAATACATCCCACTTGGATTTATGGTGTATACGCCGTTCAGCATAATGCTAAATTCAGGGTGTTGGTATTTTGTTGGTTTTACATTAATGTTCACAGGCATATTAGTCTGTAGTTTCCTCATGATGTTTCTGATGGGCTTGGTGTCAGAGTAATGTAATCTTCATAGAAAAAGTTAAGAATCATTTCCGCCTCTTAAATTTTTTGGAAATGTTTGAGAAGTTTTGATATTAGATCATCTTTAAACATGTGGTTAGAATTCACTAGTGAAGCCATCAGGTCCAAGGCTTTTATTTCTTTCTTTTTTTTTTTTTTTTTTTTGAGATGGAATCTTGCTCTGTCACCCAGACTAGAGTGCAGTGTGGGGTCTCAGCCCACTGCAGCCTCCACCTCCAGGTTCAACCAGTTCTCTTGCCTCAGCCTTCCAAGTAGCTGGGACTACAGATGTGCGCCACCACGCCTGTTTTGTTTGTTTGTTTGTTTGTTTGTGGTTTTATTTTTTTGTATTTTTAGTACAGACTTGGTTTCACCACGCTGGCCAGGCTGGTTTCAAACTCCTGACCTCAGGTTGTCTGCCTGCCTCAGCCTCCCAAAGTGGTGGGATCATAGGTGTGAGCCACCACGCCCGGCCTGTAGGGGCTTTTCTGAATCAGAATTTTGAGTAATGATTAAATCACCGCACCAGTTACAGGTCTGCTCAGATTCTAACTTCTTCGTGAGTTAGCCTTGGTATGTTAGTGTGTCTGGGAGACTGTTTATTTCATCTGGGTTGTACACTTTGTGTGCGGTTTTTCATGATGCCCTCCTACAGTCTTTTTATTTCTGTAGAACCAGCGATAATGCCCCACTTTGATTTCTGCTATTAGTAACTTGAGTCTTCTTTTTCTTAGTCCATCTAGCTAAAAGTTTGTCAATTTTGTTGATCTTTTCAAAAAATCAGCTTTGTTCATCCTCTGTTTTTCTGTTCTTCTTTTCTGTTATTTTTGTTCTAATTTTTACTATTTTCCTATTTCTGCTAGCGTCAGGTTTATGTTATTCCTTTCTGATTCTTTAATTTGATTTGGGACATTCTTGTTTTTTAATGTAGCATTTATGCCTATCTGCTTCCTACTGACACTGCCAGGCTGGTCTCCAACTCCTGACCTCAGGTGATCTGCCCACCTTAGCCTCCCAAAGTGCTGGGATTACAGGCCTGAGCCACCATGCCCGGCCAGGCAAACCTCTTGAACCGGGGAGCTGGAGGCTATGGTGAGCCGAGATCATGCCACTGCACTCCAGCCTGGGCAACAGAGCGAGACTTGGTCTCAAAAAATAAAAAATAAATAACTTCCTTAGTTTGCATGTAATTAAAAGTGGGTAAATACAGCTGCCAGCACCCTACTGGTGGTTACTCTGTGTGCACTGCCTGCTGGCCTTGCTCTGCAAGGACCTGCCACTCTCTGTACATGGACACTTCAGTAAAGCTGCCTTCTTCCACCGCTGGCTTGCCCTTGCATACTTTCCTGGGTAAAGTCAAGGACCCTTCTGGGCCAAGCCCCAGTTTTGGGGCTCACCTGCCCTGCATCACCATGGTGACCACAAAGGGGATGAAGAGAAGATGGTGGGAGGCAGACAGGTGGTGACTGGCAGAGAGGCGGTGACTGGCAGAGAGGCGGTGACTGGCAGGGCAGCAAATGACGCAAGATGGCGGGTTAGTGACAGACAATGTCCAGCACTGTGGCCATCAAAGCTGCAAACACCGCAGCTGGGATGTGGAACTTTGTGACACTGCAGACCCGTGACACTGGCCACAGGCTCTTTTGAGGGCCATCATCTTTCCTGACAGGTGGCAGAGCCGAGTGGTTGGGTGGGTGGCCACGGTGCCACCTTGTGTGAGACCCACTGCTGTGGCTGGCTGGCTGCTCTGCTCCCGATGGCTGAACCCCTCCAAGCCAGGGAGACCAGTCAGTGCCATTTTGGCTCCGTGGACGGGTAAATGCCCCTTCTGTGCATTCCCCTGCCAGTACTGGGTGAGCCAGGATCGCCCTGGGTCTTCCTTGTTTGCTGCTCTGGGATCCCCTTCCCCTCCTCCCCCGTCTTCCATGCCTGTTAGAGCAAACCGAGTCTAGCCAGGTGGAGAGGTCCCAATTTTGTGAATAACTTGGATCCAGCTGTCTTGTTTTGGTTGCTTTGCTTATGTGATGTGTGCTATGCCTAGCATGCCTTCAAATCGGCGGGTGAAGGGTACCCATAAAGTAACCACCTAAACAAGTAACACCAAACGCCCAAATAAGACCAAGTGCCACGCAACACGCCATGCAAATGTCCCGAAAGTTACCTTACGTGGTTCTGGAAACCCCCAAAACTCCAGAAAGTTCTAAAAAGTTCCTTAATTTGCATATAATTAAAAGTAGGTGTAAATACAGCTTCTGGCCAGGCATGGTGGCTCACACCTGTAATCCCAGCACTTTGGGAGGCTGAGGCAGGCGGATCACTTGAGGTCAGGAGTTCGACACCAGCTCGACCAACATGGTGAAACCTCATCTCTACTAAAAATGCAAACATTAGCCAGGTGTGGTGGCGCACGCCTGTAATCCCAGCTACTTGGGAGGCTGAGGCAGGAGAATCGCATGAACCCCGGAGGTGGAGGCTGCAGTCAGCCAAGATTGCACCACTGCACTCCAGCCTGGGGGACAGACCGAGATTTCATGTCAAAAAAATAAATACAAATAAATAAATACCGCTGCCATTAGCCCATGCACAGCTACTCTGGATGCACTTCCTGTGGGTTAGCCCTGCTTTGCAAAGAGCAGCCCCTCTCCATACACGGCTACCTCATAACCTGCCTTCTCCTGCCACAGGTTACCCTTACATTCTTTCCTGGGTGAGGCCGAGAACCTCCGGGGCCAAGCCTGAATTTGGGGCCTTCTAGTCCTGCGTCATCTTGGCAGAGCGTATTTGGTGTTTCCCCAATTCTCCTTGCTGCTGATTGCGTCTCCGTCTTCACTGACCTTTTCCACACGTTCTGCCCAGGGTCTGGTGGTGAGTTCGGCAGCAGAGATGAGGAAGTGCACTCACTCGCTTCCTCTCACCTGGAACACTTCCTGAGGCCTTTCACTATGCTGAAGGCAAAGAGCTTATAAATAACCTGTAAAGGTAAATTGTTCACACACAAGCTGCAGTTGGGGCCAGGTTGCCACCTGTCACTCTATTGGGCTGAGCGTCAGCAGAGCCTCCGAGGACTCCCTCCACCCTATCTTGGGAGCCCTCAGCTAAACTGGGTTCTGGTGCCAGGTGGCTGGTAGCCCTGTGCCCATGGGAAACAAAGG